GTGCGCGCCCGCGAAGACGCCGCTATCCCGGCGCCGCCAGCTCCGCAGCGCGAGGACAGCCCGGGCGGGCACGGGGCGGGCTCGGCGCGCGTGCGCACAGGCGACCGCGGCCGGCGAAGCCGCCGACGGGCTGGGGGGGCGCGCACGCCGCCGCGCGCTCCGGGCTCCCGGAGAAAGCCAGCTCCGAGAGGCACGGCCTGGCTCCCGAGGGCGGGCACTCGGGGCGCCGGCCCGCTCGCGCGGGACCTCCCCAGCCAATGAGAGGTCGGGGGAGGGGGGTGCGCCTGGGGCGGCCGCGGCCTCGGGATAACGGCGGTGGGGGTTGGGGTGGCGACGCGGGGCCGCGAAGGAGGGAGCGTACCCGGGGATGGAGCCTATTGGGCGGGGGAGGGGGCGTGGCCCGCCGCAGCCCAATCCCAGCCTCGCAGTTGGTCGGCCCGGAAGAGTGGGCGGGGACACGGGGCACGTGCTCGCTCCCCGAGTGCTGGAGGAAAACCTGTGGGCCGGGCGCGTCGGTACAGGTTGCTGTCGGTCTCGCCCAGCGTTCGGTCCCGGGTGGAGGGAGGACGGGCCCTGCACCACAGCCGTGGCCGCCGGGTCGGCATCGGCGGATGACAGCAAACCACAAGGCACCTTGGGTGCTGGCGGGGGAGACGGGGCCGTGAGAGAGCTCAACCTCCAAACCTCCATCCCTCTGGGAGCCCTCCGGAAGGATGGATTGTGAAAGACAGGCTTTCCCGGCGCCTGCACCGCGTGTGTGGAATGCATGAAGGAAGCACGTGTTTCCGGTTCGACATTGCGCTTATCAGGCTTTTCATCTGTGAAGTGGGAGAATAGGACCCAACTCAGAGGGTCGCTGGGAGAGGAGCGAGTGAGGAATCGTTAAGTCTGTATGGCTACGGTTCCCGGTGGGATCCTCAAACCACTGGAACCCTGTAAAGTGTGGGAGATTTTCTCCACATCCACAGTACCTGATGAATTACTTGCAGCAGGGGACTCTCCACAATAGTAGAATCTATTATGGATATGTTAGGCAGCCACGAATGTATTGTGCTGTAAGGGGAGAATGTGAACGGATCTCTTATCTCCCTCCTGGCCTCCGGTGAAACATGAGAAAAGAACGTGGGAGTGAAGTGGGAACCACTGTGTCTAAATGTACCTGGGGTTGGTGCAGGGGAATGACTTCCACATATTAAGCCCACAGTAAGCATTACTAAATAAAAGACTCCAGCAAATGAAGCCTCTTATTAAAGTTCTTCAGGAGGGCAGATTCTGGTGGTGTGGGCTGAAGAGATCAGTTAAGACTGATTCTTTGCCAGCCTGGTCTACAGAGGGAGTTCCCGGATGGATAGCCAGGGGTAAAACAGAAACCCCATCTCAAAATACATGCCTTTAATCCCAGCACTCAGGAGGCAGAGACAGGTGTGGATCTCTGCATTCCAGGCCAGCGTGGTCTACAGATGGAGTTCCAGAACAGTCACGGCTACACAGAGAAATTCTGTCTTGAAAAACCAAAAAAAAAAAAAAAAAAAAAGAATGGGTTCTTGCAGAGGGACCCAACACTCAAGTCAGGCAACTGCTACATGTAACTCCAGCTCCAAAGGAGCCCAAAGCTCTGGCATCCGGAGGCAGCTGCTTTCAAGGGCACAGATACACACATGGACACAGAATTAAAGGTAGGAGCTCATTACCTGGAGCTGAGGATAGGGTGCATCTGCAGAATGTTTGCGTTCATACCCAGGGCCCCGGGTTCCAGCCTCAGCACAGAATGTCGCCGAGTAAAAATAAGGACTGTCATCGGCATTTTCTCACTAGGTATCCCTGGCTGCTCTGGAATTTACTATGTAGCTCAGACTGGGATTGAATTTGTGCCAATCCTCTGCCTCCTGAGTGTTGGAAAAGAATGATGTTGGAGTTGAACCAAGAACAAAGCAAAAGTAACTCAGCAAGACTTATTACTGTTACCATTATTTTGCAGAAGCTGTGCTTGCAGGTTGGTGTGAAGATGGATCCTCAGATTGTATTACAGCTCACAAGTGCCTAAAACTCCAGTTTCAGGGGAACTGATGCCCTCTTCTGGTTTCCACAGGGACTGCACAGACATTATGCAAGCAAAACACCCAAGCACATAAAAATGAATTTCTACAAAAGTGTGTGTCTGTGTGCCAAACCCAAACCCAGCTACTGGGTACACATGGCTGGGATGGCTTCTGTCTTTTATTCCTGGTGGAGGCGGTGACTTTGTCTCATCCCATTGGTGGGAACTCCAACTTCTCCACACAATTAGCCAATAAACTGGGTAAAGGGAAAGAGGTAGGTTGAGGAAACAGGGGCCTTTGTTGTATTAACTACCTTGAATAGAAAAGGAAATCCCATTTCTCACAGGAGTGCATGTGCTACCCCAACAGAGTCATCCTTCCAGGGTAGAGAAATAGCTTGGTGCTTAAGAGCACCCGATGCTCTTCCAGAGGACCTGATTTCCAGCACCACACAGAGGCTCCCCACCCTCCGTAACTCCAGTTCCAGGGCCTCTGATGCCCTCTTCTAGCCACACTGACAGCAAGCATGAATGTGGTACACAAGGACACATGCCGCCAAACACCCACTCACATAAAACAACAAAAATCTTCCAAACCCAGTCTTGGAAAATATGTGAACAGACAGTGTCTAACTCCGAAGTCATGCGTTTCCTTTTTGAGGTTTGTCACCGTCAAGTCTCAGGTTAAGTCACCTCAGAGTGGCCTAAGGTAATGAGTGGCCTAAGGTAATATGTGGCCTGATCCTGGGGCTTTGGTAAATGTGTACACTGGCAAGGGTCTAGCTCAGCTGCTAGAGTGCCTGCCCATCACTGCCTGGGGGCAGTCACCAGCGCCGCATGAAGGAGTGTGATGGCACACACCTGTAATCACAGCCCTTTGGAGGTAAGGTCAACCGTGGCTACATCGTTACAGTAGCTATGGCTCAACCAAAAAAAATATATGTATGTATGTATATATATATATATATACACACATATATAATATTTTTTAATGAGTAGCTAATGAATACTAAACGAAAGGGATAGTTGGCATTCAATCTCATGGTAGTGGAGAAGACAAAGTCCTTGTCTGCTCATCCTATTATTTTAGATGTCCCTCAGGCTGGCTCAGGTGGCCAGCCCTCTAGGAGCCTAAAGCCCCTGGCCACCCTGGGTCGTTCCCAGCTCTCTCACACAGAAATTCTGCCTCTGCCTCCGCCTCCTGAGTGCTGGGATTAAAGGCGCGCAGCACCTCTCGCTTTATAACTCTTTGCTGTCTCGTAAGAATGCAACGCTCCCGCAATCACCATCGGAGTCTCTAACAGGTCTGAGCACAAGGGAGGGTCAGGAAATGTTTTGTTGTTGGGTGAAGGCACCGTTGGGCAGGGCCTTCCCAGCTCTGCAATTCTTTCCAGGGCTTCAGAGGGCGACGGGCAGCTGAGTAAGCGGAGGACAGGAAGCAGGCTTCCCTGGGGGCAGCCGCCCCCGCGCACCCGGCTCCCCTTCACTCCAGGATAAACAAACATCCGACTCAACAATTAGCTGACGGAGAGGAGAGCGGGCTGCCGGGCTGGATCTCCATCCAGATTTCCCAAGCGTGGCCCTGGACGACCAGCCCCGAGCACACCACAAATGTTCTGCAGAGATATTGGCGATGCTGAGACACATTCAGTCTTTATTCCGGAGAATTAAACGGAGGGCGGGGGCCGGGGCTGACCCTGAGCCAGAGGTCGATGGTCCTTCAGCGCCGCCTACCAGCGGAGCAGAGAAAACCGCATCTCGCTGACGCTGCGGGAGAATTCGGCGAATGACGAAACCTTCCGGCGTTGGCCAGAAAAGCAGCCAAAGGAGGAGGAAGGAACGAGAACTGGGACGCTCGCGAGCCCAGCGGCAGCACAGGCCAGGAAGGACTCAAGGCATCTAGTGGACAATCTGCCAGGTTTTGTTGGAAAGATTCGCGATGAAGCTGTTTCTGTAAATTTGTAAAATTAGCCGGGCGTGGCGTAATGCCAGCATCTAAGAGGGAGAGTCGGGAGGATTGGGAGAGTTGAGGCCAGACTGATTGGTGAAGTGAGTTATAGGCTAGCCTGGGCTACTCAGAGGCATCACGGGAAACATAGGAAAACCCCGCATCGAAAAGCAAGACGGAGGAGGAGAGAGGAAGTCAATTTAAATAAGGCACAGATCACGCCTTATTTGTTCAAGCTTTCTGTTTTGGTGCCAGAGAGGTAAGAGGCAAGCTCTTCTGCCGCTGAGCTGCATCTTCACTGAGCATCATCTCCACTGAGCTGCATCTTCACTAGCTGAATCTTCGGGCTTCTTTTCACCATCCTTTATTTCGAGGTAGAATCTCACCAGGCTGTTCAGCTGCTCAGTCTGCACACTACTTTCAGGCTTGAATTTTCAGTCTTTCTTGCCTCAGCCTCTGTAGATGCGGGGGTTGATTGGTTTTGCCTTCAGGCTCTGTTTTGTAGGAGAGGGAGTGTTTTGTCGCCAACACTGTCCTTCAACACCTGCACCTCCTGCCTTCACCTCTCAAACAGTGGGATTATGGCGAGCATGTACAACCTGCCCAAGGAACACTTCCTGGTGACCAGCCTGAGGGTAGAGGAACAGTGGCCGGCCATCTCTAGATGCCTCTTTTTGAGTGCCTCCCTCATCTCCTCCTCTCCACAGTCAGTGGGAACTCTTCTGCTAGTCATGACTTCCATTCGTGTGGATTCGTGTTGCCTGTTTTATTGCTGTGAGGAGACAGTCAAGGTGTCCTATAAAGGAAAACTTATTTTTTTTTTTATTTTTTTGAAGACAATAATAGTCCTGGCTGTCCTGGACTTCCTTTGTAGATCAGGCTGGCTTCTGCCTCCTAAAGAGTGCTAGGATTAAAAGTGTGCTGCCTGGGTTTTTATTTGTTTGTTTTTCAAACAACAGGGTTTCACCACGTAGCTATTTGTCTTGGAACTTACTCTACAGACCAGGCTGGCCTTGAACTCAGAAATCCAATCCACCTGCCTTTGCCTGCTGAGTACTGGAATTACAGGTGTGTGCCGCCCCCACCCAACATAAAGAAAAATGTTTAAATTTAACATTTAAGAAATGTTAAATGTTTTCAGGCTGGCTTACAGGTCATGCAGGAAGCATGGGGGCATGCAGGCAGACATGCTGCTGGAGAGGTAGCTGAGAGGCCTGCGTCTGGATCAGCAGGCAGCAGGAAGAGAGAAACATTGGGTCTGCAAAGCCTATCCCCGGTGACATACTTCTAACAAGGCCAAGGCCACACCTCCAACTAGTGCCACTCCCTTTGGTTTATGGGGGGCCTTTTTATTGAAACCACTAAAAGTTCTGAATATAAATGGAATCCACCTGCAAGAACGCTCATTAATAGCTCTGTTGTGTAACCGATTCTTCAGAAACTGCTTCCTTGAAACGTTCCGTCCTGAAGGGACAGCTTCCGAAGTCCCTGAAACTGACCAGATTCTAGGTCCTTCCCAGAGTAAACAAGCCAAGCAGGAAAAGAAGACACGGAGATCTTCTGTTTGGCAGAAGCAGAAGCCAGCCGAGGTGCCTGGACTAGGTGTAGACCAACCTTTTGAGCTGTGTGCTGTTTTGTAGTGTGCTGCATGCTCCCAGCTTTTGTGACCTGTCACCAAGCAGGGGTGGGCTGTCTTTTGAGTTATTTCTGCTCCTGTAAGTAATCCCAATAAAATCCATGGTTCACCATGTTGAACTCTGCTAGCATCTGTACTTGGTATGTGATGGTCCCTCTGGGGTGGAGAGGTGTTTGCTGCATCTCCCCAGGGTACCTTGGTCACACAGCTCAGACTTCTGAGTGTTAGTGTTTGTGGGATTCAGCCTGGCCACTGTGCATCAGGCTAGATCACTAGTTCTCCTGCTTGTGCTGCCAGAGTCTACTTAAGAGAGTAACATCTGGGGCTGCAGAGATGGCTCAGTGGTTAAGAGCACCATCTGCTTTCTTAAGGGACCCAGGTTCAGTTCCCAAAACCCACATGGCAGCTCACAACTGCCTGCAACTCCAGTTTCAGGGGATCTGACACGCTTACACACACGCGCGCGCATGCACACACACACAGACAGAACACAAATATTCATAAAATAGAAATAAATATATATAATTGGAAAGTTTGAGGAAAAAAAAAAAAGCCTGCAATTCCAGCACTCAGGAGGCCGAGGCAAGAGTCAAGACTTTTCTGATCAGGCAGAGGACCTGAGTTCAATCCCCAGTATTCACGAGGTGACTTATCACCGTCCTTAACTCTAATTCCAGAGAATTCAGTACCCTTAGGTCAGGCATGCACATGGTGCAGTTCACATAGATACATGCAGGCGAAACGCTTGTGCACTTACATCATAGGAGAGAGAGAGAGATCCAGGTCAGGTGACTATACAGTGAGATGCTATTACAAAAATGAGCCTCAATGAAATTGCTGCCCAAAGGGTGAGTTTGCACCTCTTCCCAAGGAAGTTTTGCAAAGTGAGTGTTCCGTGCCGCAGGTGCCGAGGCCTGCCTGTTGATGAAGAGAGGACAACTTGGGAGCCAGTTTTTCCCCACCCTGGGGAGGGGCGCTCCAGGTGGTGGAACTCTGATCCCCAGGCATGTGTGGCTAGTATCTTCACTAGATGAGCCACCCCACTCGTCACATTCATTGCTTTGTTTTAGGGTTTTGAGAGCAGCGGAAGGAAGCCTAGGATGTAGCTGAGGGTGACCTTAAACTTGAATCTCTGGCCTCCATCTCCCTAGCACTGGGATTACAGGAACGTGCCATCATGTTCCGCACTAATTAATGCACGTTACAAAGTCATTTAAGAACTTCGGGGCTGGGGACCTAACATACTTGGCAGAAGTCCTAACATACTTGGCCTGAAGTCCTGGTGGGCCACATGTGTAATCTTGGCACTTAGGAGGTACAGGCAGGAAGGTCAAAAGTTCAAAGTCATGCTTGACTACATATTGAGCCCTAGTCAGCCTGGGCTACCTGAAAGCCTGTCAGGAAAAAGCAGGGGGGAAGGGTGGAGCTGGGGAGGAGGGGGAAGAATTTCAATTGCTCTATCATTTCCCAAACACTTGATACTGGCCATTTTTTTCCTTTTGTTTTTATTTTATGTGTTTGGGTATGTGTTTGGGTATGTGTTTTGCCTGCATGTGTGTTCTAGAGGGGCCAGAAGAATGTGTCGATCCTCTGGACCTGGAATTAACAGTCATGAGCTACCATAGGGGTACTGGGAATTGAACCCCGGGATTCTCTGGAAGAGGAGCCAGTGTTCTCAGCCACTATCTCTCCAGTCCCAGAAGTCGACCCTACATGCTCTGTTAACAAGCCTGGCACAGTGGAGCACGCCTGTCATCCCAGCACTCTGGGAAGGAGAAGCAGGTGGATCGCTGTGAGTTCGGCCAGCCTGGTCTACAAAGTGAGTCCAGGACAGCCAGTGCTACACCAGGAAATCCTGTCTCAAAAAACAAAAAATCAACAACAAAAAAAGTGCTGCTACCTTGCTTGGAGACAAAGTCTCTTACTGGTCTGGAGTTCTCACCAAGTAGACTTCTCACCAAGTAGACTGGCTGGCCTGCGAGCCTACAGTGGCTAATCTTGGTTGTTAACCTCAATTGAGCAATCACCTCTAATCAGATTGACCCGTGGCCATGTCTGCAGGGCATTATCTTGATTGCTAATTGATGTAGGAGGGCCCAGCCTGCGGATGGTGCCGCTCCTGGTTGGGGGTGGGGCCTAAGCTGTATCAGGCAGCTAGCCAGGCTGGAACCTGGAAACAAGCCTGTGGCCAGAACTCTTGAAGGGCCTCTGCTCAGTTCCTGCATCCACCTTCTTCTTGGCCTTTTTTTTTTTTTTTTCCAATTACTTTATTTCCATTTGTGTTTCCTCCATGTATATCTGTGCAAGGCGTTCAGATCTCCTGGCACTGGAGTCACAGACAGGTGGGAACTGCCATGTGGTTGCTGGGATTCGAACCTGGGCCCTTTGGAAAAGCAGCCAGTGGTCCTAACCACTAAGCCATCTCTCCAGCCCCTTGGCCTTTTTTTTTTTTTTTTAACTGTGGACCTGAATTAAGCTTTTCCTCCTCAACTTGTGTTTAACGACTGTTTTTTTCTTTTTTCGTTGTTGTTTTGTTTTGTTTAATCACAGCAACAAAAGCCAGCTAGGATAGAGATTGCTATCAGAGGATAGGCATAGCTGTAACAGATCTGACCATGTGGTGTTTATGCCTTAGAATGTTTTGTAGGAGGAAGGGAAAGAATTTTTCAAGCTCTGGACTGGAAAGAGCGTTGATGAGCCGTTGTGGGGATTTGGGAAATAATGCTGGGAGTAGTGCTTAAGATAGAGGCCTGATTTATAAAGTGTGGGGGTGCGAGTGGGTTTGGGATCAAAACCTCTGTCAGTACCCTTTGTATGGAATGTATTTGAATTGAGAATCTGTGCTTTAGGACCAGGCCGTGACTGTGCACACCTGTAATCCCAGCACTTGGAAGGCAGAGGCAGGCGGATCTCTGTGAGTTTGAGGCCAGCCTGATCTACAGAGTGAGTCCATGACAGCCAAGGATCCACAGAAAAACCCTGTTTCAACCCTGCCCCCAACAATCTGTGGCTTGAATTCTTCTTTGATTTACCGGGTCAGTTGATGCTTAGGGCTGAAGAATCAGCCATGAATAAGAAGAGACAGACATCACCAAGGGGAAATCTCCTGGGAAGTGGTTCCTCAGGGTCAGCACAGAGCCTGTGGTCCAGAGAGAGCCAGGGTTGCATCTCAGGGTGGGGCTGAACTGGGTCCTGTATCCTAGCTGGGCGGTGATGGCACACGCCTTTGATCCCAGCACTCCCCAGGCAGAAGCAGGGGGATCTCTGCCTCTGTGTCCAGTAGCAATGTCTCTGTGCATTGTGTGTCCAGGTGCTGCTTTCTGTGCTCCGAGAGCTTAGTTGCAGTCCTGACATGAGCATTGTCACAGAGGCCCTCTGGCTACGCAGGCACCTGCTTCCCAGATCAGAGCTTACTGCTCCGAGAAGCCCGCTGCTCGGTGAGACATGCAGCTCACTCAACTGAGGCCGGTCGGAAAACTTCCCTGGGCCACAGACACGGGAATTGCCTGTGCAGCAGGTCAGGAGAGGCTTGGCATGAGCTGGCAAACAGCGATGGGCCCTGGTAAACCATGGGAATGCATGCTAGTATAAGTCAGGCAGAGGGCTGGACTGAACAGAGAGGGCTGGAGAAGCTAGCAGATGGCTCACAGAATGCTGGACTGCCCTGTCAGGCTAGTCATGGCAGGTGGCCTGGCCCTTTAAGACTTGGCTGGAGAGACAGTTCAGAGATTAAGAGCACTAGCTCTTCTTCCAAAGGTCCTGAGTTCAATTCCCAGTAAGCATGTGGTGGCTCATAACCATCTATAGTGAGATTTGGTGCCCTCTTCTGGCATGCAGGCACACATGCAGGCAGAATACTGTATTAATAAATAAATAAATTATATATATAGTAGTTTTTCAAGACAGGGTTGCTCTGTGTAGCCTTGGCTGCCCTGGACTCACTTTGTAAACCAGGCTGGACTCAAACTTGCAGAGATCTTCCTGCCTCTGCCTCCCAGAGTGCTAGGATTACAGGCATGCATCACCACACCCAGCAATAAATAAATCTTAAAAAAAAAAAAAAAAAGAGTTGTCTCATGTGGTCAGAGTGACTGCAGAGGCCAGACTCAAATCTCTGAACAGGTACAAAATGCTTTTAAAATGTGTTTTAGATGCTAAAGAAAGAAAGGAAACTGGATAAAGACAGTCAGAGAAAGGAAAACTAGTTTGAAAATAATAATTGAAGTGTCCAAAGGAAGGAAAGAAGTTGAGAGGTTAAAAAAGAAAGTAGTTTCCATGTTGAAAAATGGTTACCATTTGAACCCCATGTGGTTTTGTTTTGACTGCTAAAATGTTCAGTAATGACTACAGTTTTTAACAAACATGTATTTATTTATTATGGATACAGTGTTCTGCCTGCGTGTGAGGCTGCAGGCCAGAAGAGGGCACCAGATCTCATTACAGATGGTTGTGAGCCATGATGTGGTTGCTGGGAGTTGAACTCAGGACCTCTGGAAGAGCAGCCAGTGCTCTTAACCTCTGAGCCATCTCTCCAGTCCATGACTGCAATTTTATATATGCTCTTTAAGAAAAAAAAAAAAAAAAAGGGCCAAAATAAAGCAGTCTTGTATGAGAAAAGGACTAAGAGATGATATAGGATATAAGAGTCGATTATTGAATCTGCTTTTAAACTAAAGAGCAATTATGTGTCTCGAATATTTTTACATTGCTATAGATTATTGTATTTTTTATATAAATTTAAGGTTGTTTTTGTTACAACATAGTATATATTTATATTTCAACTCTTGTATAAGGTATCATACCTGTGCAGCTAATTAGAATGCAATGTGAAGCTCTTGTCTTCGAAAGCTGCTATTACAAACTGTTTAGGATAATTAAAAATACAAGTTAGTATTCAGTCACTCAGACCTATGATCGTGTTAGGTACTAGTTTAGTTAATTACAAAATAAGCTTTATTTAGCCTCTTATAAATGTTTTGAAAGTTAATCAGATAGTAAATAGCTAGAAACAAGCAGTGTTTGCCTGTTCAGGTATACTATAGATAAGTGGTCTTCAAAAACCTCAGAAATCAGGGGCTGGAGAGATGGCTCAGAGGTTAAGAGCACTACCTGCTTTTCCAAAGGCCCTGAGCGACAACATGGTGGCTCACAACCATCTGTAATGAGATCTGGTGCCCTCTTCTGGCATGCAGGTGTACATGCAGACAAAACACTATATACATATAAATAAAATCTTAAAAAAAAAAAAAAAAAACCCTACAGAGATCTACAGAATATGGCATTTAAAGATGTTTATTAATAAAAGACTTTTTTTTTTTGACAGTAAGATGTGTCAGCTCCTGGCAGCACCCCCATTGTACTTCAAAGAAGTTAATGGGTATTGAAGAACCTCCATTTGGAGTTTGCCTCAAATGTGGCACGCTAGCTACTGGACAAGAAACTGCCCTTGACTCAACTGCAGAAGGCATGCTGTCCAAATTGTAGACAATCTGGATGTAGGGAAGTCGACTGCAAAGACAAGAAAAACAGTCCTTCCTAATTCCTGCTTCATAAACAGTCTGTCATATACTGGAAAGGATGCCTCAGTGTTGCTGAGGAGTACTGGGTGACTGTCCAGGCAGCCAGCTCTTTCTGTCATTTCTAAAGTTTTGGAGGATGCTTGCTCTGTACTTCCTACTTACTCAGGTAATATTTATTCTTCTCAGGTATCTGATGGAAGTGGAAACTAGATTGTTAAAGTCTCATATATAAGCTTAAGTTGTGACGGATCTAAGAAAGTGTTTTAAGGTCTAAGGAGATGTTTTAAGGATGGTAAATGCAAGTTATGGAGGTCAGAGGATGTGAAAGTTTAAGTTGTGAGAAGGTGTTTTAAGGTTGTTAAAGGTGTTTTAAGGTTGTTAGAGGATCTAAGATGTTTTATGATGGCTGGAGGAAGCTGTAAAGAAGTATTCTAAGATTGGTAATTGCAAGTAGTGAAAGTTAGAGGAATTAAAAGCTTAGATGGTGCCAGGAGTGGTGGCACACGCCTGTAATCCCAGCACTTGGGAGGCAGAGGGAGGCAGATCTCTGAGTTCACAGACAGCATGGTCTACAAAGCAAGTGCAGGACAGCCAGGGTTACACACTGTTTTTTCTCAATTGGCTCAAACAATATTGCTTGGTTTTATTTGATAAAATTAATAAAATAAATACCAATTTTTTTTCCTCCCCCAAAGGGTTGAGAAACTGTTCCAAGTTCTTTGTTAGACTGCCCAAAGTCATTATTAAAAATGCCTGATAGACTTTAAAATGTTTCATAGCCTTAAACATTTAAACATTCTTCAAAACCTGTTTTCGCAGTATCTGAATAAACTACTCTTTTTAGGAGTGAAGTCATGAAGCATAATCATAATTTTTAAAGTAAAAATCAAATTTTAAAAGCAAAATTTACCAGTGCAAACAATTTAATCTCTAAAATCAATACCAATTTAAAATGAGACTTGTCTTCTTGGTCTAAAAGGATATAGGATGATAAAATTTATTACAGCTAATAGGTTCTGTAATCTTTTTTTGCTCTGCCCCCATACCAGGTGGCAATCTCAAGATGGCAGTCATATCACAATGCATGGCAAGCCACATGGTTGCTATTTAAACACCTCTATGCGTTTATAGATCTTATTATAAACACATAGGCACATATATATGTTCTAAACAAGAGTTTGAATTTAACCTTTAAACATATCCAATAACTCTTAATCTATAACTAAGACATGCAGAGCATATTAACCATTTTGGATCATTCAGAAACAAGCATGTAATGGCCATACATGTATTTAAACAGACAAAACCCTTCTTCCTTCCGAATCCAGCTGTGATTTCAAGCATGCCAGGAGTTGTCCCACCATGGTTTCCCTGCCATGGAAGCTGAAAGCAAAATAGACAGAAACAGACAGATAAATGCACGGAAACAGATTCCTCCAGTGGGAAAAACACAACATCTGACCCAAAGAGTTTCTTCAGATTCCTGCTCTGGTTTCCCTGCCACGGAAGCTGCAGAGAAGTGGGTGGTGGACACTACCCACCAGGATACTGATCAAACCAGAAATGTCTTTCTTACTTCAGCAGCTGTGATTTTACAGAACTTTTACCCTACTCATGGCCTGCTGCCCAGATACAGACACCCTGAGGAATTTTAGAGTACAGAAAGTACACAGGTTCACTGCACAGAGACACGTAGACACGACACCACTGGCATAAAACCCCCCGGGTCAGAATCCTGGAGTTTTGGGATCCCAGACGAGCCCCCAAAATGTTGTGCCCAGTTCCTGAGACCCCCAAAGACCAGGAATAGACTCCGCTGTAAATACAGGAGAGTTTTTTTTTGTTTTGTTTTGTTTTTTTTATTGTATATGTGTTCCAACACGGGACACAAAACATCCTGTGGAAATAGGAGAGGAATGTGGCCCCGCAGTCTAGGGAAACAAGGTTTTTAAAGGGCAAAACTGCAAGCAGGGACTTACATGCTTTGGTGTTACATGATTGGGTAAGGGAAAATGTCTTTTGAAATGATTGGTTTATTTTAGGCGTCAAGACCATACGTGGTTCTGGCCTGGCCATCTGGGCCAGTTTCCTAGCAACTGTATCTCTAGTGGACAGGAAAAAAATGCATAAAGCTAGTTTCTTTTCCCAGGTGGCTGGACATATCTCTGTTTGAGTGGCCTTTGTTCAGGCTTATGCTTTAAACTTTAAAACAATACCCACTGATTTTTAATTCTTTGGTCTCTCGGGTAATTTAAGTTTTGAAAGAAAACCTCTCTAGGAATGTGTTTCAAAGTTGATAAATGCAAGAAAAGTGGAGGGCCTAAGAAGGTATTTTAAGGTTGGTAAATGCAAGTTGTAAAATGTTTATGGGTCTAAGATGTTTTAAGGTATATGAATGAAAGTTGTAATATAAGAAAGTAATTTAAGGCATACTAAAATTGGGAGATATTTCATATTTTTCTTCCCCTCTATGCTATTGTGCTTTTATTGTTATACGATTTCAAAGGTTTTGAATTTTGACAATGATCAATAGAGTTCTGATAAGCTGATGGAGCCCTGACTGCTTATTATTCAGTCGCAAGCTCGAGATTTTAATTTCCTTTTGGTTGTCTTCTACAGATAGACTTAAAGTTGTTTCTCATCATGCTAAAAACAGCTCGATGTCTAATGTGTAGATCTCTGACCTAAAGCCATAGCTTTTAGTAGGTCTTAATGGCATGAGTCTACTCCTGCTGTCTTGCAGACACCTGTTTCCTGCTTTTTCCATGAGTATACCTCCTGATTTTGAAATGAGATTTTCCCCTTGGCCTTGCGATTACTCACTTTCCTTAATTACTAGACAAATTTTAACTTATACCTCTAGTCTAAACCTGTCTCAGCATGTTTTCACCTGGGTGACAGACTCCATTCAGGGATCAGTGAACTGAGATCTCAAGTTGCTGAAAGCTGATGCAAACCAGTCCAGCCAATGTGACGGCTCCCTATCTCTTCAACTGGATCACTAATTACATGGTTTTGATAAGTGCCTCATTGTTTAGCTTTTGACTAGCCTTTCAGCCTTCCTGGGTCCCCAGTATCTTCATCTTAATGTCAGCCTGAAGAAACTACAGAAGAGAAATTCATCAGTCTTTATCCTACCTAACAGGCTGAAATGCTAAGTCGAAAGGGACTTGTTGTAGTCGATTATTAATATTTACTATGGGTTTAACTTCTGGTAATGCTGCTGTTAATCCTCAGCAGCTGTAAAACCAAATCACCACACAGAGACTGGGTTTTTAGTTAAGCTAGAACACAATGCTGGGCAATGTTTACTCCCTCCTAAACCTCCAAGCCCTCAGTTTCCTAACATTTAGATTTCCCACATTTTACTTGCTTTTTGTGAAATCTTAGGTCTGGTTCATGCTTTAAGTCCTCCAAGCTCTCTTCCCCCACTCGTGCTCTCCTCGTGCTCTCTCTCCTCGTGCTCTCTCTCCTCGAGCTCCTCCTCCTTCTCGCCCCTTCCTGTTCTCTAGCTCCTCCCCTCTTTCCTGTCCTCTGGCTCTTCCCATTGCACAACATTGTATCTAGTTGCTTTATTTGTGTAGTGAGTATCACAATACAATATCCAGATTGAAACCAGAGAGCTGGGGGTGGGGAAGTCATCATTTGAATTAACAAGGGTAAGGCATATACATTTTAAAAGAACATTATACCAACAGGGACTCCCTGGCATAAGGAATGGGTTCCTATAATGTCAATTGACAAACCAGAAAATTGGCCCTTAGTTTGAAAGATCCCTGGCTGGGTATCTTTCCTCTGAGAGACCCCCTCCCAAGGAACAACGAGGCCATTCGGATGCAAACAGCAAGAGGCTTTTATTTTGATACACGGGTACCCGGGGAAGCAGAGTCATTCGGAGGACTTTGCGCGCCTCCTGGGTGGAAAGCTGGGGTTTTTATAGGGTTTTAGAGCAGAAGTGCTGGTACAGAAGCGAGAGGCATGGTTACAGGGGGCTGATTGGTACGTTTACATGAGACCACGGTTTGTGTCAAAGTTTGGCAGAGACACCAAGATTTTAGGAACTGGGTGGTCAAAATGGTCATGATGACTCCTTGACGTGGCCCGCCACCTGTTGTTTTCTTTAGGACCCTTATCTTAACTGGAACAGTCTCACAGATATCCATGAGGGTGATTAACACAAACTGTTTTTAACTCAACTGGGGCAGCCTGACCGCAGATATCCCAAGTGGGTGACACAGCTGGGTTTTTTAGTAATTTTTTAGTTTTTTATTTAGCCTTTAGAGTTTTACAAAACAGTGGTGTCTCACAAAATGGCGTTAGCTATGTTTAACTTAGGGTGAGGCAGGGGTCTTTTAAGTTCTCTTTCTTCTAGTCATGCTTTGTGCCCCTTGCACAATTATGCCTAGCATTAGAAAAAAGTCTCAATACCAGCCCTTGGACCCATCTCAAATATTTGAGATTGTATCCTGCCTGAGTTGGAAATGAAAGGACCAGGACTGACACACACACACACACACACACACACACACACACACTCTGAAGTCATCAGTCCCAGGAACTAGGCCATAAGTCACCAATTGCAGGAATAAAAAAACCATAAAATTCCCCACCTAAGGAATAGCCTGGAGGTAACCACGAGAATGGGAAGGAATCTTATCTCAGGGTGGGGCATCTGGGCTGGGCAGACCAAACATTCCTGAGGTCTATAAATAGCTCACTCAATGTTAATTTTGTTAGTTACCAATCACTTTGTAACAACCTTGCCCTTGCTGAATGTCATCCAGTCATAACTGCTAAATTGGGAATTCCCACTTCACGCTCAAACCCCAATAAAAACCCTGCTGTGCAGCTGCTTGGGGCTCTCCTCTCTGATCCACTGTGTTGATGACGGTGGAAAGACCAAGCTTAAGCCTTAATGAAGTTCTTTGCTCTTGCATACATGGTTGGGTTCCTGGTGGTCTTTGGGGACCTTAATATCTGGACATAACACTGTGACCCCCACCCTTGCTCATCAGAGGAAGTCACACACAGATTGAGCTTTCTCTCTCCTTACAAGCTCCTGACCAACAAGCATTCCTCTTCATGCAAATAAAGCATTCCCAGCATTTTAGCCCCAGCCAATGGTGTACACTCATCCTGGAAGCTTCTACCTGCTCCTAGAAGTTT